CAATGGGGAGGATATTCAAAATAATAAGACAGCGGTATGGTTACAAAGATGATAATTGTGATGTCGATATTGGTGATATTTATAGCTTACACACACGAATAAAATAACAATAAAAACACACATAAAATAAAATAAAATAAAACGAAAAACAAAGTAAAAAGAAAACTATAATAAAAGACAGCCCTGAAATGTTTTAGCCTCGTTGTTCCTAAAACAAAACACCATGACGTAATGGGTTAAAAATAGACCTCGGAAAAATGGCGTCTTTTCCCTCGCCCTTGTCTCCTTTTTGGCGGGAACTATTGCCAATTACGCAGAACGTTATTATTACATCTGTTGATCTATAACTGATATGGTAGTATCATTCCAATTGGTAATGTTGATGATCATAGTACGAATGATATTGATAATAATGATCATAGTCATAATAGCAAGAAGGAAAACAACACTAATAATAATGATAATAACAATAATGTTGATAATAATAATAATAATAATTGTAATAACAATGATACTATCAATAATAATGATAATAGCAATATGAATAACAATGATAATAACAATATGAATAACAAAGATGATGATGATGATAATAATAATAATAATAATAATGATAATAATAATAGTAATGATGATAATATTTTCATGATTACTTTTATCATTATCATAATAATTTTTATGGAAAAAGAAGAACCGTTTTTTGCTTCGCCTTTTCTTTCTCCATTTCCAGTTCTGCTCTGTTTACTTTTTGTCGTTACTTTATTTCTTTTCAGTCTCTTCCATCTATCTCTCTCCCTTTTTTCTTCTCTCTATCTCTTGCCCGTTCTCTCTTTCTCTCTCTCTCCCTTTCTCTCTTGCTTTCTTCCTCCCCCATTATCTCTCTCTTTCTTCCTCTCTCTCTCTCTGTCTTTTTGTCTGGACCGTCTGTCTGTCTGTTAGTTTGTTGATGTGTCTGTCTGTCATTCAGTCAGTGAGTCATCAGTCAGTCATTCATCATTAGTCAAGTCAGTCAGTTAGTCAGTCAGTCGTCCGTCCATTCAGTCAGTTCCATCCATTAGTCCGTAAGTCACAGTCAGTTCAGTCAGTCAGTCAGTCCGTCCATCAGTCAGTCAGTCCGTCCATTAGTCCGTAAGTCCACCAGTCAGTCAGTCAGTCAGTCCGTCCATCAGTCATCAGTCGTCAGTCGTCCATTAGTCCGTAAGTCACCAGTCAGTTAGTCAGTCAGTCGTCGTCTCAGTCATCGTCCATCAGTCAGTCAGTCCGTCCATCAGTCAGTCCGTAAGTCCATCATCCGTCCGTTCGTCGTCAGTCAGTCGTCGTCCATCAGTCAGTCAGTCCAGTCAAGTCCACCAGTCAAGTCAGTCAGTCCATCCATTAAGTCCACCAGTCCGTCCATGTCATTAATTTCCCCAACCCTTTCTCTCCGCAACAGAGCCAGACCCCGCCATGTACAGCCAGACTCAGAATCTTTATAGTAATTTTAGAAATGTTTGTAAAACGGGGCAAGCAACCCCTCGATAACTATAATAACAATGTAAAAAGAATTGCTTTAACGCGTGTTAGTTGGTTTTACTTTTAACAAGATTTATTTATTAATGTATTATGGTTTTATTATTATTATTATTATTTTTTTTTTTTTTTTTTGGGGGGGAAGGGGGCGTGGTTTGTTTGCCTTCATGTGCGAGTCTGTTTAGTCTATGCTCTTGTGTATATTTTCATCCAAGCTGTTCATTATATCTTTATTTCCTGCACATGCACGTTAGAGGTCGTATGTAAGTATGTACGCATGCATGTATGTATGTAGGGCTTTGAAGGATGAACAACAATAACAACAAAAATGCGGAAAGAAAATGAGTGAAAAAAGGAAAAAAAGAATAAAATATATTTATCTACTTATCTACTACGACATCTACCCTGGTTCACCATTAAAATTCTAAAAGGTCATTTAACTTCTAATTGGCTGTTCCCTAATTATGGGCAATCCATCTATAAAATTTAATCAAAATCTGTAAGTAACTCTAAAAATGGTCTTACAAGCTAAGAAATGGAAACACAATTACTAATTACATGTGGCAATAATACAAATAATAATGATAATGAGGATAATAATAATAATGATAATAATAATAACAATAAAGTAAATGATAAACAGTAATAATAACAATAACAGCAACAATAATAATGATGATAATAATAATAATATCAAAGTAATGATGACGATGACGAGAACAATGAATAATAAATTAATGTAAAGATAACATAAAGATGATAACAATGGTAAATAATAACAATAATAATAATAATAATAATAATAATAATAATAATGATAATATCAACACCTATACCCCCACCACCAAAAATAACAATAATAATAATAATATAATAATAATAATAAATTAACAAATATCATGTTAATAACAAGGATAATAACAACAATAATTATAACAATAATAATAATGAATGATGATGATGATGATAATAACAATGACAATAACAACCA